GCATACCTAACACAATGTAAATTTATGTAAATAACTGTTATTCAGAACTATTTAGGGAATGATAAAAAGTTGTGTTCATATTTAGTATTCAAGTCCTTTCTTTCTAAAATATTTTCTATCCTTGGGCACAATTCCATGGGTATGGGGGCCACCAGCGCTTGTTTTTAGGCTGGTTAGTGGGTACATAGAAGTTCATTATAATATTCTTTATTTTTGTATATAAAATATTTAATATTGGCTTTTTATAAAAAAAAACTCAGTAAGCCTAAATTAAAAAGAGGAGAGTGGCAGAGATGTGGACCTAGAGGGTTAGAGAAGATACTGAATAAAATATCATATGTCTTATGAATAAGAATACAATAATGTCCATAATATATATTTTTTATATGTCTATATAGTCAGGACTTAACCACTTGAAATAGTGTAGTGATTGTTTTTACCATGCAGCTTGGGTGGCACAGTGCTGTATCTCTTGTCTTTAGGATTTAGGGTAGTCTAATCTATCGCTCATGAATGATAACCAAGACTTTTATCTCTTGAGTATTGATCTGTTAAGCCCTGGATGAACCCAGGCTAAACCTCCTATGCAGGGGTGAGAGCCAATAAAACAGCTGTTCTCACTCAAATCATTGCAAAGTAATCTTTAAAACCAATAAGGAAAACACAATTGTTTTGAGACTTATGAAATATTTTTAAGATATAAATACTAGGTTTAAATTTATATAAAAACGAGAAACATAATAGTAGAACTAATACTAACTTAGCACATTATAACTTATAGCAAGCCAAATATTGAGAATTTAGAAGTCTTGTGTCTAAAAGCTTTTGAAGGGTAGTAAGAATAGTGCCTGCTTTTTCTTTCTGCTAGCACCTCCCCTGTGGAGATGGTATCTCCTCTTTGCTTGGCAGATCCTCAAACACTTTCTCTGATATACCAGCCTTTGTACTGTCAATGTCACAAAACTCCGAGTTTCCTTAATAATTATTTTTGGTGATGTCACGTTCTCTGGGCATCTCCATCCTTTCTTTGCAACCATTTCCTGGTTCTAATGGACAAATGCATCTTCCTCTTGCTGCTTGTTGAAAGGAAGGCCTCTTAATGGGGACAATGGCCCTATTTTTGCTGTTAGCTATTTCTCAGATCACTGCGTTTCTATTTGAACTGAGCTTCTATATGGCACTATCACCATTTGAGTCTTTGTTATGCTTCCATTTTTGTTAGGAGATTCCCTTCCCTGACCCTTTGCTTAAAAAAAAAACAATAAAAAGCCCTGATAGGTTCTTGCTATGTAATTCAGGACAGCTTAAAATTCTCTCTCTAATCCAGGCCATCTTCAAACTTGCAGGGCTCCCGTCTCTGTTTTTTGTACGAGGAGATTATAGATGTGTAGCATTAAATAAAGCTAGCTTCCTTCTTTTCCTCTGTTTCATTTTGACACAGAGTCTTGGGCAGCTCAACCTTGCTTGATGTCACTCTGTGGCTGAGGCTGGCCTTGAACTCCCAAGCCTTTTACCTTCACCTCCTGACAGACAAGGGCCACTATGCCTTGATGTAGAATATTTGTTTAACTATGTAAAGCTGTGTTGTATTTGTTTAATTATGTAACAATACGTTGCTGTTTTACCTTGCCTGCCTAACACACCTGATTGGTCTAATAAAAAGCTGAACAGCCAATAGCAAGAGAGAGAGAGAGGAGGTGTAGGCAGAAATTACAGGCAGGGGGAAAAAGTAAGAGGAGGAATTTAGGCCACAGAAAGAAACAAAAGGAGGCACCAGAGAGATGCCAGGGGCCAGCCAGGCATGAATGAAGAAGAAAAGTAGTAAAAGGCTCTGAGGAAAAATGTTGAGGAATAGAAAACAGGTTAAATTAAGATAACAGAGCTAGTGGGACAAAGCTAAGCTAAGGCAGAGCATTCATAATTAATAATAAGTCTCCGGGTCTTAATTTGGGAGCTGGTTGGTGGCTCAAAGAAAATGCCAACTACAATGCCTGGCTTGAATTCTTTCTCCTGAATAGTCAGTTTTATGAAAGGTCATTGGAAGCTCAGGACCAGCTCTGCTGTCTGCACACAAAAGGAAAACAGACACAGTGACCACCAGTCCCTGATGAACGCTGAAGGAAGAGCGCGGTCCCCAATCATTCTGCAATCTGTTACAGATGTAGCAATTTGTGTCCTGAATATCAAGCGACAGACCTTGTAAGGAAATCAATTGCTCACAGACAGTTCACCCTGGTAACTGAGATCAGAACTGGGTTGTTGGAGGACTGGCACTACTTAACTGATGGTGCTAGCAGAAATCCACAATAATGGGAACTTTGCAAAGTGTAGACAGCTTGTAACCTTGAGTCAAGAACAACAACAACCTCAAAAAACAAACAAAAACCTCTTAGTCATTTCGGAGGAGGGGTGCAGGACAGATCTCCAAAGGAAGCAGTGGGAAACAGGAAATGGTTTTCAGGATTCCCAGTAGAGAACTGCAACACTGGAAGAAAAATGGGGCGTCTGTTTAGAAAATGCAGGAAATGAAGCATGGGGACAGGCAGAGACAGTCAGGGAATGGCTGAAGGGAGAAACTCTCAAGGTAAAAAATTACCATGTAACTGAGAAAGCTAAAGCTAATTAGCTAATTTCTCTTCCTCCTCCTCCTCCTTCTCCTCTTCTTCTTCCTCCTCCTCTTCTTCCTCTTCCTCTTCTTCTTCTTCCTTCTTCTTCTTCTTCTCCTCCTCCGTCCCCTCTTCTTCCTCTCCTCCTCCTCCTCCTCTTCTTTTTCACCTCCTTCTCCTTCTTTCCTTCTCCTTCTTCTACTTTCTCTTTCTCTTCTTCCTCTTCCTCCTCCTACCCTTTCTTTTTTCTTTTTATCTTTTTTTCTTTTTGTTTTTTGAATCAGCATCTGGCTTTGTGGCTCAGGGCAATCTTGAACTTACAATCTTCCTGAAACAAAGATGGGAACTGGTATCTTCTGGGCACTGGTAAGTACTATAAAAGCACAGTTTCAGTTGGTGTCAATGTTAATAATAAGGTCTTCAAGCTCCTGTAAGCTTGTTTGCTGATGTCCTTTTTCTGGAGACAAGTGAAAAGGAGGAGGATGGAATAATCTGACTCTTTAACCGCCGGCTGCTGGATTTACCTTTACTGCTCTGAGTGCCTGGAGCAATAGGGCTGGCTGTTAGGCAAAGATGCTGAGCTGAGCAACCACTTTAAACATTCCACAGACCCTTTGAAGAAACTCCACAACAATTGTAGCTGATTGCTCTAGCTCTTGAAGAGAAGGTTCACCCTCAGCTAGAACCCTTTCAAAGAATTTGTACCAGGCATTTGCTGAGATAAATCCCAGTGAATTCTAGATAACCCCTAAACCATTTCCACTGTGAGCAGAGAGAGAACTCTCCCTCAGAGGCTTAGCAGAGGGATAGCGAGCTGCAACCAGTGCTAAGAAGGCAAGGCCAAGACATTTACATCAGCACGAACATAAAGTTTTGTTTCTTGTGAGGTCTGCTGTACTTGTGTGAACCCTCCTCCTCTGGCTGCAGAATGAAGCTCCCTTGCTGAGTCAGCCTGGAGAATCCCTCCTTGTGCTGCCTCCCTTGATTGCCACGTTGGGTCCAATCAAATGCTTCTCTTGCATGGTGCTTTCTTACCTACTTTCATTAGCAGAAGAGAGGCTGATAAGCATGCAGAAGGAAGCATCGGGGACAGCGGAGTGGCAGCAACAGCTGAGCAGTTGGTGAACCAAACAGCATGGTCAGCAAGGCAGCTAGCTGCTTGACAGCGGACGTCAAGACAGTAGAACAGTTTGAGAGTACAGGCAGGGTTAAACACAGGGAATGAAGGCTGTAAAATGGGTATATGGGATGACGGAGAACTGAGACCGAAGAAGGGTGAAAAGCTATAAACACCAGAAACGAAAATCTGCAGGCTGCATTTACCAGAAGAGTTTCAGGGCAGTGGTTCTCAACCCTGCTACTGCTGTGACCCTTAATACAGTTCTTCATGTTGCGGTTACCCCCAACCATAAAATTATTTTTGTGCAAAACTGCAATTTTGCTACTGTTATGAATCATAACGTAAATATCTGTTTTATAATGGTCTTAGAAAACCCTCATGAAAGGGTTATTCGATTCCTCACCCATGGATTTGAAAATGACTCTCTAGAGTTATTGAACATTTAGGTCTAAGGGTCTCAGACATCCCAGACCTAGGAATTTGTAACACTACCTTCTGTCAAAGGCTGAGCATCCTGATGTTTAGGCCTGTCTGAAATCGGTCATGCTGGCTGTTTGCTATTAGCTAAGAACTCTCAAGCCTTCTGCTCACCTTTGCAGGGATAGGGGTCCCACTGCAGGAGAGCTGCAACACTAGAGGGTGCCACGTGCTGCTGCCCTCACCTGCCTTCTGCCACATTTTATGAGGACAATGCTGAGGAGCACAGAAGCCGCTAAGAATCAGCGAGGTAGGTCTTCTCCTTGTCTGCTTACAGTTTCTATTCAGATAGCCAAAGGCTCCAGACAGACAACTGGTCATCCTCCTGCCTCAGCCTCCCAAGATCTGGGATGACAAGTGTGCACCACCATGCCCAGCAAGACCAGCTACTTTTGATTGAACATTTTGCTGGGCTGGCCATTTGACCATCAGTTGTTGCAAGGAGATTCGTTTTATGTTTCTGTCTCTGTACACAATCCATGTCTGTTCTTATCCTTTAAAATAATAAATTGTGATAAACATAGCGTCATCAAACAATTGTAGTTGAATGACTGTTTTTAGGTATTTACGCTTTGGCATATTAATATTGTTTGTTCAGAGACCAGAGAGATGACTCAGTAGAAAAAGCACCTGCCAGCAGACTTGACAACCTGAGTCTGTCTGCAGCACCCCTTAGAGTGGAGGAGAGAACTGACTCCCACAAGTTATCCTCTTGCCTCCTCACACAGGGGTGCCACCCACAAATGCACGTAATTTAAAATGTTTCTAATAGACAGCATGCGTGAAAACACCGTGCTTAACGAAAGATTATATATATTTGACCTTCCTGCTGAAATGCAAGTTTGTCAGATATGGTCATTTCTATCATGTCTGCAAGAGCTTGGCATTCACTATGGGATGTGTGAAAAACATCTGGATGATAGGTGAACAGGTTGGGAGATGTTACAGAGAACCAGGAGTGGTCAAGGGGCATTCTCACTGCGAATGAGATGAATCCCAAAGCAGTTCTCTTTATAACCAGGTAGTGGTGTGCATGTGTGTGTGCGCATGCGCGCGTTCCCACCGTTTTCTTTCTTTTCTGATTTGGCAAGTGAGTCCGATTCTCTCAGCAGCTGTTCTGGGTTGGGAGGTCTCCAGGTTTCCTCTCACTGCTCAAAACAAATGATATAGTTTTGAGAGCAGAGTAGAAACAGTATCTTTAGAAATTAGAACAGATTTAGAGGAAAACGTAAAAGCACTCAGGTCAGAGGAGCAGGGATACTTGCATGTAGGTGATAGGTCTAGGCTCACTGTTGCTTAGGTACAAAATTACCACAGTATCTTGGTGTATATATAAGTCCCTACAGAGCTCAGGTATCATGGTGTTGGTGTGGGAGAATTGTCTGTATTCTGTCAATCATATTTTAATAAAGCGCTGATTGGCCAGGCAGGCAGTATAGGCAGGAAAGCCAGACAGGAAGTAGGGGTGGAGCAAAGAGACTGGGAGTATTCTGGAAGCAGAAGCTCCCTCCGCCACTCCTGCGCAGACCACCGAAGAGGCAGCATGTAACTTGCCCAGCTGAGAAAGGTACTGAGCCATGTGGCTAATGTAGATAAGGATAATGGGGTAACATAAGTTATAAGGATTAACAAGAAGCCTGACCTAATGGGCCAATCAGCTTTATAACTTATAGAGATCTCTGTGTGATTGATTTTCTCTGGGACTTGCCGGCTGTGAGGTTCTGGGCGGGACAGAAACCCCTACAAGCTGGCCCCTCATGTTACATGGTATGTTATGCTAGAAACATCTAAAGGCATGCTGTTGTCTGTCTACAATCTGAGAATCTATTGAGCAGTCATCAGTTGACAAGCTGTTTCTGCTTTGTTGGCTGTAATACACCAAGTAATCCTGATTTCACTGGATAGCAGGCCACTTCTTTTATTTCCATTTTAATCACTAATAGATGACACGTTTTACATAGTTGTGTATGCCCACCCGTGAGTGTGTGGGCACACATGTGTGTTACAGGATGGCTACAGAGGAGTTAAAGAGGGCACAGAGTTCAAAGGGATATTTGTTGGCGGAAGAGGCACAGACAGAGACAGCACAGTGGCAGAGAGTCACTGCAGGTGGTTACATAAGATATTAATTAGCCCAGTTGGAAAGCTGCTGGAGGCAAGCGAACAGAGCTTCAAGGTAGGGCCCAGATGCAGAGGCTTAGCACTGTCGAAGACAGGCTGCAGAACCACTGCGATGAGCAAGGCAAGCTGCAAGACCATTGAGGTGAGACACAGTACCCAGCCCGGGAGAGTGGGTGGGTGGATCAATGGCAGCTCAGGCTGGTTAAGCAATGGAGGCTATGTTGAACTAAAGACCCAGGGGCCCTTGGGTGTCATCTGCCTGTTGGTCTCTTGAGCTACGCAAACAGGTCACCAAATAACAGGTCAATGTGTTAGGAGGGTCATCAGAGAGTCTCACCTTGAAAGCCACTGATGGATCCATTTCTCGGTCAACTGCTTGTACAAGTGTAGGCCAGAGCTGTAGGACCTTGGAGACAGGTGAGAAGAATGAGATTTGAGTCCTATCTAGCCCTAGGTAGAAACATGACACTCTAAACTGCCTAGAAGGTCATATTAGTTCTATCTGGAGGCTTTCTGAAAAGGAACAAAGACACATCATTTCCTTTACTCTTAGAAATCCAGAGCTGGGGAGATGGCTCAGTGGGTAAAGACACTTACTGTTAGCATAATGATCCACCTGGGTTCCATTTCCTCTCAAAGCTGTGTTAAAGTCAAGGTCTACCATCCTAGTACACCTATGAGGAAATGAAATGCAGAGACAAGAGATGCTCCAGAAGCCCAATGGACCCTGTTTCAAACAGAAGACAAAGTGGGAGCAATGTCAGGTTGTTCTATGACTTCTGCATTAATTCATACTATAGAACTTGGACACCACATTCACACATGGGTATGCATACATGCACTGGGAAAACAAACACTAATAAATAGCTCATCCAGTGGATCTGTCAACCACCTTGTGAGGAAATAGCTGCAAGGAAAGGCATCTACTCTGAAGATCTTATAAATGGCATAAAGTCTATCGAAAATCAAGTTTCCACCATGTTCTCTCTGACCCCTGTCTACTCTCCCTGCTTGAGATTGTTCTCTACATAGGACACAGTGGTCCCTTTAGCTATTACCTTTTCCAACACTTTCAGAGTGCCTCAAAATGTTCCACAGTTAAAGGTTTCTGTTGTCTGTTCTCTGCGTTTATCCGTTGAATTCATTCAGTGAAAACCATTATAGAGGTGGCCAGAGTGTAAACCTGGGAACAGTTCATCAGGTCTTAGGTTGCACCCTTTCTAATGGGATCCAGGTAGTGGGGCATCCATTGTTGGTCTAGAAAGGTTCTCAACCTTTCTAATGCCGTGACCCTTTATTACAGTTCCTCTTGTGTGGTGACCCCCAACCATAAAATTATTTTGTTGCTACTTCATAACTGTAATTTTGCCACTGTTATGAATCATAATGGAAATATTTGGTAAGCAGATATATGACCTCCAAAAGGGTCACGACTCCCAGATTGAAAACCACTGGTCTAGCATGTTCGATAAGGGTTTGAGTCTGCTTTTTCTGATATATTTCTAATAAGCCCATGTGTGTTATAAGAGGCTGCTTGTTCATTTCCTGGCTGCCCAGACTGTATTAATTAAATCACTGCTTGGCCATTAGTTTAAGCATATTTTTATCTAGCTCTTACATCTTAATTTAACCCATTTCCAGTATTTTATAATTTGCCACTAGGCTTGTGGCCTACCAGCAAGGTTTCAGTGTGTCTGTCTCTGGCAGCAGCTCCATGGCTTCTTTATGACCCCACCATCTTCCTCCCACATTCAGTTTAGTTCCCTCTACTACCTACCTCTGTTCTGCCCTGCTCTGCTACAGGCTCAGAGCCTGTTTCTTTATTCACCAATGGTATTCACAGCACACAGAGGGGAATCCCACATCACATGTGCTTTCAACATACATGATACCCTTTTAATTCCACAAATAGATTATTTGTCACTCGTGCCTTGTGGGTCACAGTGGTGGTGGCATTTACAGGCAAAAGTGAGACACAGAGTCACCCAGCCTCTGCATTTGGCACTCAACGTTGAGCCAGCTGCTGCCGTATAAATGAAATCACCAGGGAAAGGTCCAGCCCACAGCTGTGCTTTCATTCAGTATGGAATAGGCTCGAGCCTGGTCCAGCCTGCTTTGCACAGAGCTTAGCACCCTTTTCTCCTCTATAGAAAAATGATGAGGTTGCAGAAGTGTCAGCCAGCTGAGTACATGATTAGTGCCTAGCATTACTTTATAATTTTATTATTATTAATTTTTAACCCAAGTCCATTGGTACAGTAACCCCAATAAAACTGAATCTTTTTAGATTTGAAAATAAAATGGACTCAGCTGTTGCTTCCTGGGCAGGCCTCAAGTATACACATCTTCAGAGAGGTTGGAACTTTTTAGTGGAAGGTGAAAAGAGCAAAGGAAAAAATATCCTGCTCTTGACTAGACCCGAGACCTGGGTCAAGGACAAACCCCCTGACCTTAACTTGACCCCAGGACCAGGGCTTGAAATCCCACCAATCTTTGAGCTTTCCCCACCCTGCAGATTCCCACCAACCCTTGTGCACAGAATCCCAACATTCCTTGAACATTCCCCAGAGTCAGGCCACAAAAGCCCACCAACCCCGAGCTACCCTGGAAAGTTCTATCCTCCCAAGAAACCCTATATAAGCTCTGACCCTGTTCAGTTTGATGCCGCTTCTTATCCTGGAGGTCGCCACCCTCCTGGATCCTTCCTTCCTCAGAAATCGTGAGTGAGGTTTGCTGTGCAGTGTGGCACTTTTGCAGGAGTAGAGCCCAGTTGTAACAACTTTTGTCAGAACCGGAGCAGAGCAAACTACAACACTTAGCCTGGGGAAACCCTCTCCTACTGGAGCAGAGTTGTTCCACTTGCTTTGGGGAAACCTTTCTCTGGAGCAGACCTGTGAGCTGCTGTGTTTACAGAGACTTTGGTATTCCTGGGCTCCCGACTGTCAGAATGCTTTTTTCATCTAAGCTGTAGTGCTTATACTTAGTCTCACTAGTCTTTAGAATAGATGTTTTCCATTATTTTTTTATATCGATAGGTGCTTTTCCTGCATGTGTATCTAGGCACCGTATGCAGGCAGAGCCCATGGATGCCAGGAGATAGTGTTGAATCCTCTGGAAACGGAGTTAGAGAAATTGTGAACTGTCATGTGGGTGCAGGAATTTGAACCAGGGTCCTCTGGAAGAACAGCCGGGGCTCTGAATTTCTGAGCCATGCCCCTAGTCTAGTTTATAATTTTTGAACCAAGGGTAGTCTCTGTTCTTTAAAGGTTATAGTAGTCTTATTTTAATTTGCAATAAATGTACAATTAAATCCTGAATTTTGCACATTCTAGCCAAGTGAAGAAATTACCTGGGAATATGGGATATGTGTATGAACTGTAGTTCCCAGAAGGAAAGCCATGCCCATCTTAAAGAATCTCGAAGTCTATTAGTACACTCCGATTGTGAAGCTTTGGAACACTGCAGACTCAGAGTCAAATTACCTTGAACTACCTGTAGCCCCCCTAACAGCCATTTGTTGCCAAACAGTGTCACCATAACATTCTTCTACCATCTGAAACCTTTGGGGTGTATTAAGTGACCACACCTTAAGAATGCCACCAGCAAGCCGCTGAAGCCAACAGCAGAGTTTCCCCACTTTTCTGTAACCCATCTGATGTTTCCATTCATGTATTTGGAAAATGCCTTGATTTAAGGTTTTCTTTTCATCTGTGACTTTAAAGACTTGATGAAATTCTTTCTACACTGGAGCATGTGGTATCTGAGGCAACCGAACCAATATTCCCAGGTCGTGACCACTCATATTTGGTCCCAGAGCAAAGAGTGAAGCCTTGTAAACTCTTTGGCAAAGGAATTTCCTCAAGGTTTAGCATCATAGCAGAAGTTGCTGTGGTGACCAGTGGAATGTGTGACCTGGTAGTCATGGTAATGAATGGTCTAGGTGCAGGAGCGCTGTGGCAATAGCTCTGTTAGCACTCGATAGGAGAATCCGAAGGATGCACAATCTTCATCCGGGATCTCACCCATCACTCATCACTGCTTTCCAGTTGCAGGTGCTCATGGGAGATGCTAGAGAATATAGGACTCCATAATGTACTTTCACAAGGTCATGACAGTTGTGTGACCTTTCAATGATGTAGCTGTTTTTGAGTCATCCACATTCCTATAAGCAACCCCCACCCACACTCCTGTAAGAAACCCCCATGTGTAGGAGGAGAGGCTTCTTGCTTGTCCCGGACGCCCAGAACCAAAATAATTACACAGAAATTGTATTAATTAAAATACTGCTTGGCCCACTAGCTCTAACTTCTTATTGGCTAACTCTTATATTAATTAACCCATTTCTATTAATCTGTATATCGCCATATCTGACTCTGGCGACTTCAAGGCATCTCTCTGCTTCTGCCCTTCTTTCTCCCAGCATTCAGTTCCATTTCCCTGCCTACCTAAGTTCTGCCCTATCAACAGGCCAAGGCAGTTTCTTTATTAGCAGCACGTAGAGGGGACTCCCACATCACCCATCTACACTCCTGTAAGCAACCCCCATCCACACTTCTCTAAGTCCAATAACCTTGGTTCATCAAATTGGACTTGGTTAAAATCTTGGTTTGGGTTTGTTATTGGTGAGGTATCTGACAGTTATTAGACATTTGCAAGTGCCTCCTCAAGAAAAGTAATTCAACACAAGTAGAGAAGGATAATTTCCAAATATTATTTATGGTTTTGCTTAGAGATATTATAGTGATTTTAGATTAGAGTCTATCTCTGGGGGGAAAATCTCAAAAGCCACATAGTGGAAGGATGAATAATAATGCACATTTTTGCTTCTTATTGTAACTGAAAATTATTTCTAGGATTTACATGTTTAATGTGTGTAAATGTTTGCCTGCACATAGGTACATGTATCATGTGTGTCCCTGATGACGATGGAGGCCAGAAGAAGGTATCAGATTTGTGGAACTGGAGTTACAGATTGATTGTGAACTGCCATGTGGATTCTGGGAATCAAACCCAGGTCCTCTGCATGAGCACCCAGTGGTCATAATATCTGAGCCATCTCTGCAAGCCCTAGTTATTAAAAGATATAAAATAAAAAATGAGCGATAGTGTACTAACTTTATTTTGCTTCGTGTTCACAGAAAAGAGTGGGTTGTGATTATTACCTTCATTACTGTCTTATTATTGATGAGTTTAAAAAGTGGAATTTGAAGTATAAAATGTATTTTCCGTTGGCATCATCTGCCCTCCATAACAGTGAACAAGGCAATTGGGACAAATGTTTTTGTTGAGAACAAGTAAGAATTCTTGATTAAGTAGGATACACACACACACACACACACACACACACACACACACACACACACCCCTATATTTATATGTAAATTGTATCCACCATGGTTTTTATACAGTATCAGTTTTTATAGTTTTATTTACTGTTACTCTTTCTAATTAAATTGTGCTGCGACTTTTTTTGAAATATAGTAACATTTTCACTTAAAAATTAAATATGATCATTCATTAAAAGTTCCACAAAATGAAAGGAAATAGGAAAAATTAATTGTTAATACTCTTTTGAGGCTATTTGATGGCCCAGAGGAAACACTGCAAAAGCAGACTTCAGCAGAATCCCAGGGAAGGAGAATAAAAGTCAAGCATACCCAGCACGAAAGTCTGACACCAGCCTGTGTAGTTCCAGGCCATGTCAGTGGGAGTGGGTGAGCGGCAGGGACACACTTCCTGTTGCCACATGCAGCAGCCGGAGGAATTCTCTTCAGAGACCTCTGTGGGTGTGACGGGGAACAGTATCAGGACAAGTCAACATTAAGCATCATTGGAGTTTATTAGAAAAGATTTAATTAGGAACATTAAAGGAGAGACACTCTTAGGAACGGGAGAGTATATCCGTAAATATGGTCTTAGGTTTCTTCAGAAAGTTCCAGTGTTTCTGCACCAGCACTGTGTAAGATTTGTGTGAGTCTGATGTATTTTTAAACATGTTTTAGGGAGCTTTCCCAACTTTTCCTCAATAAATGAGATAGATAATTGGGTTCCTGTGAGTAGCACTGACTAGGATTACAGGTTGATAAGGTTGAACCCTAGGTATAAGGGTTGCACAAGGGAATTATTTCATGTTTTCATAGTCTTACTTGTGAGATTCTCTTTACATTGCAGGTTCATAACTTGAGAAAGGAGTAAGACCATATTTCAAGGTTATGTTCAAGCCTTAAGCAGGGCATGCTGTCCTTTTAGCATTCTTATTTGAAGTATTTCCATAGAAAAGGAATATGATCTCTATGAAGGCAACCTTCCTAGCAAACTTTGCTAATTGTCCTGGAATTCTTGACCTCAGCTGGGGGACTTCGACCAGACTCTAAAGCTGGGGATCCCTTTCCCCAGCTTTCCCCCCACTTTTCTCCCCACTCCCCTTCCCTTCTCATATCTTTTTAAGTTTCTTTCTATCTTGACTCAGTAAGACCCCAAAGTATTCAGCCTCAGGTTGGAGTAACCCCCAGGTAAACCAGCATCCATGTTGACTGTCAGCCACACCATCGTCCTGGGCTGTGCTTAGATCAGAGTGGTTTTGTGTTAGTGGTGATTCCACAAGTGCGAGGAGAAAATTCTCTTCTCTGCAAAGGAAGGTCCAACACCCTGTCTCTCCCATTAGAGCTTCAAGTTATGAAATGATATTATAGTCCATGACAGAAGGGTACACACGGAAATAAGATACCATGATCAGCTGATAGCAGATTAAAAAACAAACCAGAAAACAGGGAGAATCCATGTTGGTTTTGAGTATTTTTCTAGCACACAGAAAAATCAGCGGAATTGCCCAGGCTCTCCTGCTCAGGTGGCATCTGCCAATGTGCCCTCTTCACTTTTTGGTATTTATGCTTGTAGGTTAAACCAGGCTGTGATTTTTTTTCCACTACCAAAGAACTTTTCTCACTGAATTCGGGCATCAAGATTTTGTTAAAATCATGACGTGTATTATGAAATATGCCTCACCTCCTTAACTACAGATTTTAAGATTTTGAATATTGTTTCTGAAGCATTTTTCAGAACTAGGCAGTGAAGGATGCTAAGGTGTCTTAGTTATCTGTGTGGGAGAGCGATATTATTAAGGCAAGCTGATTGTGGCTACAGTACATTCCCATCTTCTGTTTTTTCTGGAATTGGTTTTGAGAAGGTAAAATTTTTAGGGATACACTTTTTGTTGTTGGAGATTGGGTCCAGGGCTTCACACACGTAAAATAAACACTCTGGTGCCAGGTCCATATTTCTTCAAATTCATCTATTTCAAGTTTCAAATATGTTGATATAAATTTGAGAATGTTCTCAGATGTTAATTCTATGGAGGATGTCTAATAATGCATATTTATGTTTCTATATTAATTATCTCCATCTCCACAGGTAGACCTATGAGATAGAGTCTACTGTTATGGCTACTCTATAAACAAGGGAACTGAGACATGGTAAAAGTTAAGAGATGGATCATATATTTGAATCTTAAAATCCAAGCATCACATCTGACTTAATTAACCATCATTTTATACTTTATCCATTATAACAATAATGACAGTGGTGTGTCAAAAATTCAAGGAACTGTAGTTTTTCTTTCATAGGCTTTTTATTACAGTTCTGTAAAATATTAACTTGATTAGTTGGAAAATGGTCCTACAGAGGTCACCATCCCCGTACTGATCCCTGGGTGGGAAAAGATGTTTGAGACAATTTCTTAGTCCAAGATTGAAGCACTGGGACAGGCTTACCAGATTAAAACCACAGGCTCTATTCCTAATAATATTATATAGAACCATGGTTCCGTCCTAGAATTGACAAGCAACGTATTTCTGCTGCTGAAATACTGGTCCAAGCCACTATTATTGCTTGCCTCAGCTATGCAATCTTAGAAAAGATCCAGCTTTGATCGGTTTTTTTATGAGGTCACTGTTTTGCCTTTAAAACCTGCCTTATATCATCCAAGCTATCCCCCAATTTTAAACCTTCTTTTAAATTTATTGTAATGCTTTCTTTTTTCTTTTATTATCAAAGAAATGACTGTTTTTCTTGTGGACTGCTCAAGACACCTGGCTCGAAGGAGACAGCAGTGCTCATTACAGAAGGAATGGAGGAAATAAGGGAGGTTAAGTAAGGGGAGGAAGTCAATGGGAGCAGGGATGGGGAGGAAGCAAATGTGTGCTTTATTCATGAGCAGGCAGGCATCAGGTGGACCATGGAGGCTCGACTCTATGGACAAGCTTCCGGGGCATTTTATGCACCTGCTTTGCCCTTGTTCTCACTGAGGGTCACACAGGTTGATTATTTATCCACTCACTCTTGAGTGACAGCAGTTAAGGTCTTTTTCTAAGATAATTAAATTCCTGGCACTTTGGGTCAGTACAATGTTAGACCATACATGTTCCATGATTGGAGAATGCTCAAGATGAAGGTTACAGGTGCTTGAAGCAAGGATCCCTTAGCATATAAGAGAACGAGTGCCAAGACAATATGAGTGTAAGCAGCAACAAGTCACCTCTGTGATCAATTTCCACCCCACCATAAGATCACTTTGACCAATGCATTTTCAAGATGTTAGACAATCATAATGTCATTTAAATATAGCAAAAAAAAAACTCAACAGGAAGATTAGTGGAGCAAACCAAATCCCTTTGCTGTTTCAGTCAATACCAAGGGCATTCATATCCGGTCACGATTATCCACTCTAGAGTCTCCTTCTGTTCTTTGGTGTTTCTTCTAACTTACTAAGCCAAAATACCCCAAGCATTCAATATGAAGCAGAATATGATCCCAGTTACTCTGTCCTGGGCATGCTATGACTGCTGT